TACAATTGTGGACTTGTGCCAAAGCATGACATCTGGAATACATAAGTGCAGGCAGAGGTGTAAACTTATCTTCTAATATGTGATGGTATTCCTTTCTTATTTTTATTCCATTCTTTAAACCATGATGCCTGTTTGGGGGAAGGAGGCAAAAATTGCTTTAGCAGCAGCACCCTTTCCTTAAATGAAATCCTACTCTGCTCAATAGATAAAACAAGTTAAAATGCAGCCTTATCCAATACCCTCCACCACTCCCTGGTGCCTCCATGGCTCTGGGGGGCCCCAGTTCTCACCATGATTCTCAAGCATGGAGGCAGAAGTATGGGAGGATCTCTAGGGATCACCATCATGCCCTCAGATAAACAGAAACCAGGTCTGCCATAATGCTCAGTCCATGCCAGAGGCACTCCCATTTCACACATTCAGGAGTTAAATGTTTTATCCAAGGTCTCTGGACTTAGATTAGACACTACCCTATACTTGTCACTTTCTTCAACAAAGTAAAGAGATGCTGATGTCCCTGGGTTTTTGTCTTTGTAACCTGAAAGATAGAATGCTGAGGGTCAGCCAACCAATGAACGAGTGATGCATTGGGACCTGGACTTAATATTGTTAAGCTAGCAAAACTCCCCACTGACCTTCCAATTCAACACAGCCCATATTAAAATCTCAGCTACCTTTTTCACAAAAAATTGACAAGCTGACCCTAAAATTCATATGGGGACCTAAAAAGCCAAAATAATCATGAAAAAGGAAAAAGAAGACTCACACTTCTCGATTTCAGAAGTTACTACAAAGCTACAGTAATCAAGACAGGAGTATGGCATAAAGATAGATATACAGACCAATGCAATAGAATTAAGAGGCAGGAATAAACATGCACGTTATGGCTAGTTGATTTTCAACAAGGTTGTCAAGAGAATTCAATGGAAAGAACAGTCTTTTCAACAAAGAGAACTGGGACAACAGAATATCCACATGCAAAAGAATGAATTTGTACCTCTACCTCACACCACATATAAAAATTAACCCAAAATGGATCAAAGGCCTAAATTCAAGGACTAAAAACTATAAAACTCTTAGAAGAAAATTAAGGCATAAATCTTCATGAACTTGGATTAGGCAAACATTTCTTAAGTATGACACCAAAAGCACAAGCAACATAAGAAAAATAGATAAATTGGACTTCATCACACTTAAATCCTGGGCTTCAAAGAATACAACCAAGAAAATGAAGAGACAACACATAGAATAGGAGGAAATATTTGAAAATCACATATCTGATAAGGGACTGAATCTAGAATATACAATTACAAATCAATAATAAAAAGAGAACCCAATTTTTAAAAAATTGGCAAAAGATCTGAAAAGACACATCTCCAAAGAAGATATACAAATGGCCAACAAGCACATGAAAAGATATTCAACCAACACAATATTAAAGAAGAACAAGTAGGAGGACTGCCGCTACCAGACTTCAAGACTTATTGGCAAAATAATAGACAGATCAAGGGAAAAAACAGAGAGCCCAGAAATGGACCCCCATATATGTAGTCAACTGATCTCTGACAAAGGAGCAAAGGCAAAACAATGGAGCGAAGATAATCTTTTCAACAAATGGGCTCAAACAACTGAATATCCGCATGCAAAATAATGAAGCTAAACACAGATCTGACACTCTTCACAAAAATTAACCTAAAATGGATCAGAGACCTAAATATAAAATGAAAACTATAAAACCCCTAGAAGATAAACATAGAGAAAAATCTAGATAACCTTGGGTATGGTGATGCCTTTTTAGATATAACACCAAAAGCACAATCTATGAAAGAAATAATTGATAAGCTGGACTTCACTAAAATTGAAAACTTCTGCTCTGCAATAGATAATTCCAAGAGAATTAGAAGACAAACCACAGACTAGAAAAAATATTTGCAAAAGATACATCTGATAAAGAACTGTTATCCAAAACATACAAAGAGCTCTTAAAACTCAACCATAGGAAAACAACCTGAATTGGAAATGGGCCAAAGACCTTAACAGACACCTCACCCCAGAAGATATATAGATGACAAGAAAAACATATGAAAAGATTCTCCACATTATATGTCATCAGGGAAATGCAAATTAAAGCCATAGGATACCACCCCATGCCTATTAGTATGGCCAAAATCTACAACACTGACAATACCAAATGCTGGAAAAGGATGTAAAGTAACACAAACTCTCTCATTTGTTGCTGGTGGGAATGCAAAATGGTACAGTCACTTTGGAAGATAGTTTGGTGGGTTTCTAACAAAACTAAACATACTCTTACCACACAATCCAGCAATCACACTCCTTGGTATTTACCCTAAGTAGCTGAAAACTTATGTCCACACAAAAACCTGCACGTGGATGTCTATAGCAGCTTTATTCATAACCGCCAAAACTTAGAAGCAACCAAAATGTTCTTTAGTAGGTGAATGGATAAACTGTGGAACATCCAGACAATGGAATACTACTCAGAACTAAAAAGAAATGAGCTATCAAGCTATGAAAAGACACAGAGGAACTTCAAATGCATGTTACTAAGTGAAAGAAACTAATTGCTACATACCGTATGATCCTAACTATATGACATTCTGGAAAAGGCAAAACTATGGAGACAGTAAAAAGATCAGTGGTTGTGGGGGGTAGGAGGGTGGAGATGAATAGGGAAAGCACAGAGGATTCATAGGGCAGTGAAAATACTCTGTATGATATTATCATTGTGTGTATAATTATCATTATACATTTGTTCAAATCCACTGAAGGCAAAACACCAAGAGTGAACCCTTAGGTAAACTATGGGCCTCAGATGATCATGATGTGTCCATGTAGGTTCATCCTTGGTACCAAATGTACCATTCCGGTGAGTGATGCTGATAATGGGGGAGGCTGTGCACGTGTGGGAGCCAGAAATATAAAGGGAATCTCTGTACTTTTCTCTCAATTTCACTATTAAAAGAAAACCTAAAACTAAAACTGCACTAAAAATAATTAAGTTAAAAAAAACGATGTTCAACACCACTAGCCATAGGGAAATGAAAATCAAAACCACGATGAGATACCACTTCACACGCACTAGAATGGCAATAGTAAAAACAAGATGGGCAGTAACAAGCGTTGGTGAGGATGTGGAGTCATCAAAACCCTCAAACACTACTGGTGGGATTGCAAAATGGCACTGCCACTTTGGAAAACAGTGTGGCAGTTCTCCAAAATGTTAGACATAGAGTCACCATATAACCTGCAATCCCACTGCAGGTATATACGCGAGAGAACTGAAAATACACGTCCACACAAACTTGTACTCCCCTCCCTTGGGGGAGGTGAGGGTGTGAAAAGAGGGGAGATGCATATAGACAGAGAAAGCACTCTTGGACATACGGCTAAATGAGGACAAACTCATTAGAGAACAATACATATAAAATGAGCCCATTAGAGGTGCCTGGGTGGCTCAGCTGGTTGGGCGTCTGACTCTTGGTTTCGGCTTAGGTCATGATCTCAGGGTTGTGAGATCAAGCCCCACATGGGGCTCCACATTCAGCGCAGAGTCTGCTGGAGATTATCTCCCTCTCCCTCTCCCTCTCCCTGGCCCTCCTCTCTCTCTCTCTCTAAAATAAATAAAATCTTAAAAAATTTTTAAAAATGAGCCCATTCTGTTGGTTTTTAAAGATATTCACAGGTACACACACCTGTACATCAAAACAGAAGAGAAATATACAGCCAACCGATCATAAATGTTCTCTCTAGAAGCAAGCCAGGGATGTGGGAGGAGGAAGTTCATTTTTTACTTCACAATGTCTGATTTGTTTGCATTTGTATACATGAAGAATATAACCAGGTTTCTTGTGCAAAGGAGCATTTCTTTTTCTAGACAAAAGGGAAGGAAAGACAGAAGAGGCCACTGGAGTTGGGGAGTGTGGGAGGTTCTGCAAGGAGCAAAAGAGTATTCCAAGTAGTAGGAACAGCAGGTGCAAAGCTGCGAAGGTGGAAAAGCCTCTGGGGCATTTGGGGGGCTGTTGGGTTCAGCTGCATTGGAGGGTCCAGCAGGGGACCTGGGATGGGGTGTGGGGAAGATGAACCAAAACAGTCCACTGAAGTGGCCAGGTTCTGAGGGCCATGGGGACATGGAGGCCCCCACTGTAGCAGGAGAGGCCTGGAAGAGGCTGTGGGACAGGAGGGTGGACCACGGTGGGCAAAGAGTCTCATGCCATTTCCCACCTGGCATCTGTCTCACAATAAACTTGCCCTCAACTCCATTATCTAGATTTGGCTCAGAATACAATAATTTCCAAAAAGCATAGCACCAGCCCCTGGTGAAGTCTCCAAATCCGAATGGAGAACTCCCAGTGTGTTTGAGCAAACCTTTCTGAGCAAAATGCAGTGACAGAGTGACCTGTGTCCATTTTAGATCACCAGATAATGACAACAGCCATCCCTTCCTGCACAGGGCCTGTGACAGGGGTATGCTCTCTGAGCATTAACCTCCACAGCAAACCCATAAGGTCCAGTCAAGCACAGTCCCCATGCACAGATAGGAAAACTGAGGCTTGGAGAGGTTAGGCACTTTGCCCAAGGTCACTCCACTAGTAACTCAATGCTGGAGCTGAGACTGGAACACGGGAGCCCAACCAGCACTTCTACCCTCCAGACATATCAGTTTGCCTTAAAGCCAGCCACTGCACTGGATCACCACCCCAGCTTCTAGGAAAATATTAAGCTCAGAATGGAAGATGAATTCAGGGCTTGGGGTTCTATTCACAGGAGCAACAAATCCCGACCCATAAAGTTATCATATGCTGGCTGGAAGTGGAGGTCAGGTGTCGGGACAAATAACTAACTTGGGCTGTTAAATAACTAGTTTGGTCTTGAGCTAGATGAGCCAGGCAAGGCACCAAACTGCCTGCTTGGTCCTTCAGCTCTGGCCAAGGTCCCCAGCCTCTCTTATTGGAGCATTTGGTTTTGACCTGGGCCCCATGTCCAGCTCTGCCCTGACTCTCGGGTCCACCCTGGAAAAGTCAGGAAACACCCGGGGAAAGAAGGCAATGGCCTCCTCCCGCCTTGTTGTTCCGTGGCCACCAGAGACCCTGGAGCATCAACTTAACCCCCAACAAATCCTCCCTGTGCCAGGGACTGAGCAGTTGGTGGGGGGCAGCCCCTGCCCTCCCAGGGCTCACATTCCGCAGGGGCTGTACACCAAGGCAAGGCCTGTCGGAGATAGTTAAAAGCACCCAATTCTCTTGACATCACTGACTCAATCTTCTGGGAAGATTCCCCCTCCCCTTGACCTCCCCTGATACAACTGAACAGAGCTCCAGAAAGACACAGTTGGCAAGTTATTCACCACTTCCCACCTCACTTTTCTTGGTCAGAAAGATGGGGATACTGAGAAGACCTGTGCCATAGGACAGTTCTAGCTGATATATGAGGATGCCAGTGCAGAGCCCAGTAGCACAAGGCATAGCCATTCAGATCAACTGGCATTTACTGAGGGCTGCTACATCAGTTCCTTTTCCACCGAATACTCCATGCATGTGTACACACACACACACACACACACACACAGCTATAACCGATGAGAATCTGGCATCATTTGAGAACTGGTAACTCTTCATCTGGACCTTTGCACATGCTGTTCTCTCTTCCTTCCAACCCACCCCACCTTCTAAATAGAAGTGACTGTAGCCATCCCTTTCTTTTCTTAGATGTCGCTTTTTCCAAGAAGCCTCCCTGTCATACCTCTTTTATGCTTTGTTAAGTAATGTCAAATGATCAAAAAATCAACCACTCAACGGAGAGAATGGGAAGCATGCATCTCCCGGCCCATGATCCTATACATTTTCATCACTTCATTTTTTTCCATCAAAGCTTCACTAAGTAACTACTTTCCCTCTAGGTGGTTTCCTCTAGGTGATGAGGTGCTTGTAACCAAATGACACAAAAGAGGAGGGGGCCCATGGCCAGAACAGGTGAGGTGAGGCAAGTCTTACTATGTGTAGAGTTATACTTCCAGCAGTGCCCCGAGGCTCATACTCATTGCCCAGGTGGCAGTTTCAGGAAACATCATCACTCCAGGTCCCTCTGGAAAGGAAGGCATAAGCCTTCTAGTCAACCACGAGAGCACACAGTGCCGAGAGCTTACACCAGCCACGTGCTAGGATCTGGAGGGAGGTGAGGGAGGTTCTGCTCACACTGCCTCACTTCCCCTCCCCCTTCCCCAGAGAGACAGACCATGTCCAGGGCTCAAGAGGAATTCAACCACAACCCTGGGGTCCACATGCATGGAACTATCTTCCCCCAGATATCCACATCCCTCATTCATCTAGGTTTCTGCTCAAATGCTGCTTCCTCAGAGAAACCATCCCTGACTTAAACCAATGCTGCCTCCACTGCAGTCACTCGGGATCCCCTTCCCCAGCTTCATCTTCTTTGTTGCACTGACCACACTCTCTGATACCGTATTATAGATCTAGTTGTCAACTGTCCATCTCTGCCACTGGGATGTAAATACTACAAGGGAGGAACACTGCTGGTCTTCTTGACTGCTCTGTGGCCAGTGTCAGAGCCCTCCCTCCATAAGTGATTCTTGAATAAATGGAGTAACAGGGCTGAGCTAAGGGGCTAAGGCACATGTGGAGATATGACTCCAGCTAGCTATAATCTTCCTCCTTTTTTTAAAGAAAAAATATACCCATTTTCATAACTGAATGAACAATGTTCACTAAAGTGAAGAAGAAGGCAAAGCTTATCTCCAAACCTCTCCACAGCAGACCCCACTCCATCCACCACACAAGCGATCTCCCATGTAGCAATGTGAACTGACTCGATTAATCAGAATCGTATATAAAAGCATTTCATTTTCACTCGTTTCAACCTGCTCAACCTGTGCAAAGTAATCTGAATCAGACAATATTTGTACAAACCATTAAGATAATGCATCCAAGGATTTTTTTTTTTTTTTTAAATCTATCTAGGGCCAGGGTGCCTGGCTGGCTCAGTCAGTAGAGCATGTGACTCTTCATCTCAGGGTTGTGAGTCTGAGCCCCATGTTGGCCATAGAGCTTACTTAAGGAGAAAAAAAAAGTTCTTCAGCTCACCACACTTTACTCAGTGGATGCTCATTCATTCTGTCACTAAGGAACATTTATTGAGCAACTACTGTGTGCAAGGGGCCAGAAATCAGTGGTAAAGAGGGCAACACCTCTACCCTCTTGAAGTCTTAATTCTCCTGGGTGGATGTAGACAATAAACCCATAAATAGATACATGAGTATGACCATTTCAGGTAAGCTCCATGAATAAAATACTATAGGAGAATGTGACAGGTACCGATAGGGGGACAGGCTGCTTTGGACAGAGTGGTCAGGAGAATCTTCTCTACAGAAGAGACATCCACGCTAAAGATCACGCCAGACCTGAGAAGTGGCAGAAAAGTGTGCTCAGCAGAAGGAAGAGCATATGCAAAGACTCTGAGGAGTCTCCTGACAATCTGAGCTCCAATTTTCATGAACTGTATCCCATCCTAACGGCCTTACCACAGGCCAAGAGTCCCTACTCCCTCAGCTTGCCTTCTCCATTCTCCCGTTGACTTCTTTATCAGATTTTCTCAAGTTAAGGCAGACCTGAATTTTCCACTGGAAGGTGTGCCCTGAGCAAGGGTACAAAGCATCATGAGTGCACGTTCACCTCTGGGAGACAGAGGTAATGTTGACAACTTGGGCCTGCTCCTGTACAAGGGGTAAGAATCTCCCCACCAGCAGCTCAGAGTCCCCTTTTGTGGGGCGCAGGCCCTTTGCAGAATATGATGAAAAGGAAACTCTCTGGAAAAATATACACCTGTGCTCCAAGCATATCTCATCCACGTTTCCAATCTCATATACATTTCAGGAGATTTCTGGAGTTTCCTGAATCAGAACTCCTGTCTGTGGACCTAACACGAAAAGAAAAAAGCTAAACTGGTGCAGGCTCCACTGATGCAGGGGACAATCTCCTGCAGGTGAGTGAATGGAGGGGAGGGGACAAGATCAGGTCTTTGGGCCCCTAACTACACTCCCACACTCACAGAGATCAGGGTTGTCAGCCTATCAGGGGGCCCAAGGCCTGAAGGAATTCAAGTGGAAATTTATCCATTCCCCCTCAGTGAGGCAAATATCCAGTCACACCCTAGAGCTTCCAGAGAAGGTTTGAGACCCCCATTTCCCAGCAGTGTCCTTGACAAAGGTCATCTCTAATCCCCTATTCTGAGATACATTTTGCAAAAGGCTGCTTAACCACAGGAAACATTACTGCAAAGCCCAAGTGTTTCAGCGCTGAAGGGGACACCACTGTGTGAATAATCTGTGTTCTCAGCAAAGGAAGGAGCAAGAGCCTGCCCATACCCACCTCATTGGGGAGCTAGGCATGCGGATGCCCTGTTAGACAGATGTCAGCCATAAAAAATAACAAGAACAACTAACATAAGTAAAACTTAGCCTGTATCAGGCACAATTTTAAGAACTTTAACCTTACACAACTTTTTAGGATTTGTACTGTTATCACCCCCATTTTACAGTTGAAAAAACTGAGGCAGAGATGGGTGAAGTAGCTTGCCTGAGACTCTACAGCTAAGACAAATTCACAGAAAAGCTCTCCTCTTCCACACCCCAGCCAAGAAAGAAGGCGGTTATACCTTGTGTTGCGCATGAAATGCTTTAAAATATGTTTCTGCCGGTGCATCCAGGACAACTACTGTTTGGCAGTTCTCACATCTCTGCCCAGTGCTGGAAGCAAGCCTGGTTCGGGCATTAAATGGAGAGAGTCCTCTAGGAACAAGTCGCTCTGTTTTCAGCAACGTTCAAGTCCATGATGAGGCTGAGAGCGCAAGCGCTGCTCTTCCCAAAGCCCAAAGGAACCCATTTCCACCCGGCTCGGTCAACTTCCACACTCAGAAAATGCTCACAGGTCTCTGACTTTGAGGCACCGAGATTCACCCTAACCCCCTGGTGTCCGCCTCCCTCGCCTCTATCTCAAGATCCTCTGGCCGCGCAATTTAAAAGATGCAGCCGCCAGCACAAGGGCCCCGGGCGGGCCCGAAACCACCGCCGCCGCCCTGCGCGCTCAAAGCCCGGCTCCTCGCAGCAAAGTGACCGGCAGCCCCGCGAGCCACTACCAGCAGCTCCCGACGCGACGCTGACCTGCGGGCGCCCCACCAAGGCTGGAGAAGACGCTGAGGGAGAGGACAGGTGGCGCCTCCCTCCCCGGAAGTGGCTCCGGGAACTTTCGCTTAAGAGCTCCCAGGGACCAAAGTCAGGGTCTCCGGCGCGAGCGGTGGTGGCACTGCCCATCTGCGTGGCGCCCAGGCGCCCAAGTACGCTCCGAGTGCCCGGGGCCGGAGAGCGCGCAGAGCCCGCTTCGGGCACCGGGACGGGCGGAGGCGACCCGGAGGTGGGGGGTAGGGGTCCAGCTCGGGGTAGTAGGTTAAGGCAGGGGAGAAGCCAGCCCCGGAAAGTGCCGGGCCCCAGGGCGTCTAGCGGGGGCGTCCAGCCGGGGAGGGTCTAGTGGGGGCGGGGTTCCCGGCCAGCCTCCCTCACTCACCTCGGCCCGTGGCGCTGGCTCGGCCCGGCGGGGCTGGAGAGCGCACCGCGGCGACGGCCGTGGCTGCGGCTGCTGCGGGGGCGGCTCCCCCGGGCGGGGCGGGGCCGGGGGCGGGGAGGCCGGGCCGGCCACGTGGGCGTGAGGCGGGCGGGGGACCCCCGCTGGCGCCTGTGCCGGGTGGCCCGAGACCCGGACGCAGTCACGCCCGGCCGCTGTTCGGCACTCTCCCTCCGCACGCCCCGCCGGGGTCCCTGGGAAGACTAGGAAGGGAGGACCGAGGAGAGGATCCGGGCCGCGGGGCATCCCCTGTTACCTAATCCAGACTCTAGCGGAGAGAATTTACCGGGTCGGGGGGGGGCGGGGGTGCGCAGAAGGAGCTGCGGACCCCCTGGGGTAGGCCCGCGGGACGAGTATCGGAGCAGGAGGGGACTGGCGACGCAGGGGCCGCTCTGGCGGGCGAGGGCCGGAGCCTGTGCGTGGAGCCTCGGCCCGCCCTAGGCTGACCTGCAGCGCGTCGGGACTTGCCCAAGCCTCGCTTTCCTGGACGGTGCGGGTGAAAATGAGGACGAGACACGAGCTGTGCGAATCCCCGCGCGTGCGGAAAAGCCTCAGGAATCGCGGGTTTGGGAGCATACGCGCAGCCTGAGAAAGCAGCCGCCGCCAGTGGCCTGGGTCATCGTGCGGAAAGAAACATGCGAATCCAAATAAAACTATTTTCATTCATTCAACAGATAAACGCTTACGGTCCTCAGGACCTCATACAACCAGAAATAAAGAATGCCCTACGCTGTATGGCTCTTATGAAAGTATAAACCGTGATGGTAAAAATGGAAAACTCATTACTAGTTGCTTTCATAGTGTCAGGTGTGCTATTATATTTTTTTTTAAGATTTTATTTATTTATTTATTTGAGAGAGAGAGAGAGAAGCACACTTCCCGCTGAGCAAGGAGCCCTACGCGGAGCTCCATCTAGGACCCTGAGATCATGCTCTCAGCCAAAGGTAGAC